GCCAATTGAGTTTGATGTGACTATGGTCCCGAGCCCACAGGTCCAACTACTCACTCCCTCTGAGTAGCTGGCCATGACCAAGAAGTGACTACAATCTTGTTCCTTGTCAGCTCTACTATATACCTGGGAATTCTTGCAGAACATAGCGATACATTTGTAGAAACATTGTCTGCCAACCCTATACATGGTCTTGGGCACACTCCCTCCTGCATGTTGTTGTTGTTGTTGTTATGTGCCATCGAATCAGACCTGACTCATAGCGACATACCTAATAGTTCAGCCGCCTTGTGGATGCAATCTTGCCCAAAGGGTCTGATAGAAGGTTGTGAGTTTATAGGTGTGAGTGGCACCATGGGCAGTGGTGATAATTTTCTGGCTGGAGTAGGGCCGTGAGGGAGGGAGAGGGACATGTGAGTGGGAGGGTCAATGGGTGCAGAGATGAGGGCATGGAGGGGCTGCATTCAAGGTCATAAGTATACAATGACCATTACTGAACTGTTTCAGGAGCGGACAAGATGGAGACCAATTCCTCTCTTCCCATGAATGTGTCCGGAGGGATCCAAGCTCAATCTTCCAGCTACGCTGCCCTGGACATCTTCTCTCAGGTCATATATGGGATCACCTTTGTCCTCGGCATTCTCGGCAATGGGCTTGTGATTTGGGTGGCCGGCTTCCGGATGAAACACACAGTCACCACCATTTCTTACCTGAACCTGGCCTTAGCTGACTTCTCCTTCACTGCCACCTTGCCATTCACCATGGTCTCTCAAGCCATGGGGAAACAATGGCCTTTCGGTTGGTTCCTATGCAAGCTCATTACCACTGTGGTGGACATAAACCTATTTGGAAGTGTCTTTCTGATTGCTCTTATCGCTCTGGACCGCTGTATTTGTGTCCTGCACCCAGTCTGGGCTCAGAATCATCGCACTGTAAGTCTGGCCAAGAAGGTGATCCTTGGGCCTTGGATTATTGCCCTCCTCTTCACCCTGCCAGTTATCATCCGTATGACTACCGTGTCTACTCCCAAAGGGACTGTCTG